ATGGCAGTTATCCATGACTTGTTATCTATGGCAGTTATCAATGACTTGCTAAGTTCTGTTATCCAATTGCAGGTTCTAAGTTATAATTGTAACCATAGTTCTCAGTCAGTTAAGTTGATCTCTCTCATATATTTCTTTACGCTTGAGCAACTGCAGGTATATTACCGCCTTTTTTCTAATGTATATGGAGAGATTTATTTCATATTTATACATTTTAATACTTATTATAAATTAATAATAGATATTACGTACTTTTTTTTTAATCTATATAAAACTAAAAGGGTGTTCAAGATCGACTGTAGCTCTTGGGCTCCTCCTTTTATCGGTTCTATAATGTCCTAACTCCGGATCTATTTGTTCTACTACATACATTTCTCTCTCTCTCTCTCTCTCTCTCACTCTTTCTCTCTCTGACTCTCACTCTCAGGTTGCAGCTGCAATATCTGATTAACTCCCAGGTATCTGTTTACTGCTAGGTGAACAGGAGCTTCAGGCTAAAGAAACCCCCCATTTGTTTCTATCCCGGCAGAGAATTGATTTCGGGTCTGTGGACTGCGAATCCCGAACGCTGTCCGCTCGGCCGCGAGGTCGTTTGCTTCACCTGATACCTACTATTCATAACAATTGGATTTAAAGTTATGCAATCAAGCGACGTACGACAGATTAACAGAGAATTGGAAGGAGAGGCAAGAGTTTCCACAGAAAATGGGATAAAAGTTTACACAGAAAAGGGGAATGAGAATTTAGACAGAAAAGGGGAATTAGAGTTTTCACAGAAAATCGTAATTACAGTTTACACAGAAAATGGGAATTAGAGTTTACACAGAAAATGGGAAATAATGCTTCCAGATAAAATGGATTTAGATGTGACGATTTAGACGATTTAGATGATTTAGATCCGCGATGTGACGCGTACAGGAAGCCCCAAGCAGTTAGCATTAGAGGAAGTGCTGTCTGTACCTGAAGGCTGATCCACAGTACCAGGACCAACAAAACGAAACCTGTATATCTTTCCTTGCTCATGACGGCTTTGTTTACACTTATTCAACAATTTGCGAACTTGGAAACGTCACAACCCGAGGTCATTATGACTTTAAACAACCTTGTATAGGGCTTCGGAGCTCATAAAGCTGTTGAGTCAAGATGTAGAGGTTTCGTAGCTTATTGCCTAAATGCTTTGATGAATCCTGGCCCCAGGAGAGGTATATATATACACCGAAAGGTATATACATCGTTTTTTAGTATATCATTACGACTATATAGCACTAGAAAAGGGGGTCAGGGGTAAGGATTTAGTATGGGACGGGGGGGGGGGAGTAGGAATGGTGGCCCCCAACTGGTTATGGACGGTCGGGCATTGAACCCCGACCTGCATGAAGCGAGACCGTCGCTCTACCGTCCAGCCACAAGTGGTTGGGCTCACTGTACATGTGCTAGAATAAAAATCATACATGTTTTAAAGGATGAACTTTTGTAAATAAATTTATTCAGCGTCCACGCCACAGAGAAGGGAACCACGCCACAGAGAAGGGAACCACGCCACAGAGGGCCAGAACCACGCCACAAAGGGCCAGAACCACGCCACAGAGAACGGAACCACGCCACAAAGGGCCAGAACCACGCCACAGAGAACGGAACCACGCCACAGAGGGCCAGAACCACGCCACAGAGAACGGAACCACGCCACAGAGGGCCAGAACCACGCCACAGAGAACGGAACCACGCCAAAGAGGGCCAGAACCACGCCACAGAGAACGGAACCACGCCACAGAGGGCCAGAACCATGCCACAGAGAACGGAACCACGCCACAGAGGGCCAGAACCACGCCACAGAGAACGGAACCACGCCACAGAGGGCCAGAACCACGCCACAGAGAACGGAACCACGCCACAGAGGGCCAGAACCACGCCACAGAGAACGGAACCACGCCACAGAGGACCAGAACCACGCCACAGAGAACGGAACCACACCACAGAGGGCCAGAACCACGCCACAGAGAACGAAACCACGCCACAGAGGGCCAGAACCACGCCACAGAGAACGGAACCACACCACAGAGGGCCAGAACCACGCCACAGACGATGGAACCACACCACAGAGGGCCAGAACCACGCCACAGAGAACGGAACCACGCCACAGAGGGCCAGAACCACGCCACAGACGAGGGAACCACGCCACAGACGAGGGAACCACGCCACAGACGAGGGAACCACGCCACAGACGAGGGAACCACGCCACAGACGAGGGAACCACGCCACAGACGAGGGAACCACGCCACAGACGAGGGACCTGTGTGTGTGTAGCAGGCCGTGAGACCAGCAGCCGCTGACCACATCAGTCATGGCTATTGTGTTCGTTGCCAAACACACACAGTTCGACACCCTGGTCAACAATGGCGGAGTTTGTGGCCCTCAGTGACATGAGTATGAGGACCTTGGCACCGCTATCTCCTGTGACCTCCCCTCACACTCACCCTCCTTCGAGTGAGGGGGGTATGAGGGAGGGCTCCTACCCATACGCTACTTCGAGCCCCTGAGAGGAGCTGAGCTCGAAGTGTAAATCCCAGCTCCTGGGCAAAGGATATGAGACAAACTGAGTTGATCTCCCTTAGGTATTTGCATTCTGTACGGCACTAATTGCCTTGTTATGGCGCCGTAGTTGTAAGAGAGAAGGAGACTTTCTTCCCTGGGGATTTGTGTATGGAAGTCTCTGCTGCGTGTTATACAGCCTGTACTTGCCTACGAAGGGTTGGAAGTGTTCAATATATCATGGGGTCAAATGTATCCAAATTTTTACATATACACAATTTGTATTATTATTATTATTATTATTATTATTATTATTATTGATGTTTGAGATTCTCTCTGTCTCTGTCTCTCTGTCTGTCTGTCTGTCTCTCTCTCTCTCTCTCTCTCTCTCTCTCTCTCTCTCTCTCTCTCTCTCTCTCTCTCTCTCTCTCTCTCTCTCTCTCTCTCTCTCTCTCTCTCATTGTTCCCTTATCAGACCATTCATACTGCTGTCTCCCCTCCGCCAGCATCTCATCAGGTCATCTCCACCCAACGCAGCATCCACCCCACCATCAGCATCAGCGTTGCATCATCTGCCTTCTCCTGTTGCACCTCTTGCCTTATGGCATCCCTTAAACTTTCAGGGGGAAATATATTTTCCTTCGTTTTTCTCTTCTTTGTCCTTGTGAGCTGTTCTTTGGGACTTTTAGGTGTCCATTCCAGTACTTATTTTACATTAATTGTTTATAGGGTTTAATATGGAGTACATTATATAAAATCAATATTAAAGCTGAGTTATATAGAAGTAAGTAATTATCAATACAAGGCACCAAGAGTTATATAGAAGCTAAAGGATACAATATTGTTCATCTCTCTCTCTCTCTCTCTCTCTCTCTCTCTCTCTCTCTCTCTCTCTCTCTCTCTCTCTCTCTCTCTCTCTCTCTCTCTCTCTCTCTCTCTCTGACAGCGCCATCCACTCCTTAGCTGACCTGCACAACACATTTATTTTCATTATGGAACAATGCTAGATTTTCCGCCATGAGGGAATCAGCATACAATAAAGATAGATATCTTTGTATAAACAATTGTGCAGCTGAACTGCGTGACCCCAGCTACAGGGGAAGGGCATTTTCTGTGTCCTTTAGATATGTTGAAGCGCTTAGAGAATGTCACCAGAAGCTATTGTGTCATCTGAACCTATACCAAGGGGTCACCAGAGTTGCTACAGGAGTCATTAGTCTGTACTGGGGTCACCGGAGTCCATTAAAAGGGGTCAGTAGAATCAGTACAGTGATCTTAAGAGTTGGTGCAAGAGTCTCTGCATACCGTGGCAGGGGTCCCCCAGAGTCCGTACCCCCAGAGTACATGAGTTACTAGAGTCCGCCTTAGGGACACACGAGTCCGGTTAAGGGTTGGCAGATTCCGTAGAAGGGCCTCTTTGAGTCCGTACATAGCTAACCCAGAGTGCGTTTAAGGTCACCGGAATCTGAACTTGGAATCAGAAGCGTCCTTACGGAGGTCAATGCATCAGATTTAGCGCTGACGAGTAGAATCTTTTAATCAAAGATTAAACTCACACAACATCGAACTCACACAACAGTGAGTTCGATGTCTATCTCTTACATCTATAACGGGAACGACGCTTAGCGCTGAGTTCGATTTAGCTGAGTTAGACAGAGTATTCAAAAAATGGAATGGCTGAACGGGGAAGCATTTGTATAAGCTATATAATCCATATGTTACATATGTATATATGTAGTAACATATGTACCCTATAGTAACATATGTTGCTCCCCCAACTGGTGATAACACCTGTTTTAAGTGTAAGGCTAAACATTGCTTGTTTATTCAACACGTGTTAATATTCACAGCTAATGTCAACAAACAATAAGCAGGTATCGTGCCCTAACACTACGCCAATTGTAGATACATATGTAAACAAAAACAAAAAATCATCCACGGGCGCAGGTGAATGACAGGTGTGAAGATCGTAGGCAACGTTCATTCATACATTGTCAGCGGCCTTATCATGCTTTGCCGCCAGGAATTGACAGGTGTGCAAATCAGACGTAGACACCTGTCATACCCTACACACGCACGCACACACACACACACACACACACACACACACACACACACACACACTCACACACACCAGAGGGCCTCGTAGCCTGGTGGATAGCGCGCAGAACTCGTAATTCTGTGGCGCGGGTTCGATTCCCGCACGAGGCAGAAACAAATGGGCAAAGTTTCTTTCACCCTGAATGCCCATGTTACCTAGCAGTAAATAGGTACCTGGGAGTTAGTCAGCTGTCACGGGCTGCTTCCTGGTGTGTGTGTGTGTGGTGTGGAAAAAAAAGAAAACAAAAAAAAGTAGTTAGTAAACAGTTGATTGACAGTTGAGAGGCGGGACCAAAGAGCCAGAGCTCAACCCCCCCCCCTTCAAGCACAACAAGGTGAGTACACTACTCGTTATAAGATGTAGATGAAATAATCTTATAATACGTAATCTTATCTTGAGAGGTTATCTTGAGATGATTTCGGGGCTTTTTAGTGTCCCCGCGGCCCGGTCCTCGACCAGGCCTCCACCCCCAGGAAGCAGCCCGTGACAGCTGACTAACTCCCAGGTACCTATTTACTGCTAGGTAACAGGGGCATTCAGGGTGAAAGAAACTTTGCCCATTTGTTTCTGCCTCGTGCGGGAATCGAACCCGCGCCACAGAATTACGAGTCCTGCGCGCTATCCACCAGGCTACGAGGCCCCTGGTGGATTATAATATAATAAAAATAATAATCTTATAATAATTATGAAATAATTATAATATAATAATCTATAATGAGATGAAATTCGAACTTTGCTCGAGACATGCTTCGGGCGCCTCATCGAAACCGACCTAAACAGATAGTTCAGACGAGTCGTTGCGAGCAGACGTGTCTGTCCCTCGTCCACCTGGTGCTAGTGTTATCTACAAATTTGATATCTTAAAAGTGAAAACCGAGTGTCGTGCGGAAATCACTGGACTTTGAAAAAGACTTAATACGTATTGTGAAAACCTCGAATGGATTCTCTGGCACTGTAGGACGAGCGTTTAAGGGAGTTAACAACTCCCTCCAGAAAGGTATGTGAAAACGGTCATCAAGAGAAGGCCAGGGTAAACAGGTTTAGCAATTGGGAATACCGGTAGCAATATGGGCAATATATACTGGCATATAGCAGTATATATATATATATATATATATATATATATATATATATATATATATATATATATATATATATATATATATATAGCAATACTCGCAATGGGAAAAATGGGAAAAGACTTTCATTTAGTGAAGATAAATGATGTAGGGAAATGAAGAGTCGCGTACTAGATTAATTTATGGTATAATTCATATATATTAGAGCCCCTATTCCACATACTGGAGCCACATACAACACGCTAGAGCTCATACATAACGTTCTAGAACCGCATACCACATGCTACGAAACGCATATTAGTCATACGCAGCATACTATAAGTAACATTCCACACAAATAGAGCCACTTTCCACATATTAGATTTATAATACATACTACTACTAATAACATACCACAAACCAGAGTTCAAGTTACCAATTAGAGCTACATGCCACATACTAGATCCACATATCACATACTAGATCCACATTCCAGTGCCATATTCAACAAACTACATAAATATATATAACATATCCAATCCCAAATTAGATACTACATCTATCCATCACAAAACAAAGACCGTATTCCACAAAATGGAACCACATACAACATACTAGAACCACACATCACATACTAGAACTAGTTACTATAGCTCCTGGTCCCCAGAACCCTTCCAAGGGCAATACCATGGTACTGGCTTAGTGATTTCTCCTCATGGTTAACTTATTCCTTGTTACCAAGTTCTATAAATTTACAATACTGTTAAATGTTGTATATTTTAATTTCTACCTACAGATGATAATTTAAATTATTTCTAATTAGTTTTAACATCACATTTCATTATCTGAACATTTGGAAGGTATTCCTCATTAATTAGCTTCTGTGTCCTCTACAGGTAAGTGGAGTTGTTGTTGATCGTTACTTGGAGTCCTGGTGGGGTGAGGTGGCCCAGGTGGCCCGCTACGGTGGAGTAAGGTGGCCCAGGTGGCCCGCTACGGTGGAGTAAGGTGGCCCAAGTGGCCACAGAGTTTTATTGAGACCTGCGGAATAAGGTGAGCTTTGTTTGTTGTTGGCATTATTATTGTAATTAATGTAATGCAATTTTTTTCCCCGATAGTAAATGTTATCTGATTGTTTATACCTTTAGAAATATGGACAATGGGCTGTTATTCCTCTCAAGTTTGGCTCAGACTTTTGCCTCAGACAGCTTAGGGAAGACGACTAAAAGATGCCTGAAGGCTGCTGAATTATGAAACAATGGGTCACAGCTCTCAGATAAGGAGTCCCGAGCCTTCAAGACGTCTTCCCTAAGTTGTCTAAGGCAAAGTTCAAAGTTCATTTCGAGAGGAATAGTAGTCATTTTCTATACTTTGGAGGCATAAGCGACTTGAAAATAACATTTGCTACCTAAGGACAAAAAATTATTTAATTCATTCTGAATTCTGTGCTCTCTGAGTAGTGCATTTAAATAATGTGTTTCTACAGAAATTCTGTTGATCTATCAGACTATTGAGATTGCTCTGTCAGTCTTTTTCTAACTCTCTGCCTCTGATGAATGTTTGACCGAACTGGAGCTGACTTTACACATTCGTACGCTGTGGGAGGCTGTTGGTTAGACTAAAACA